GCTCAATAGAAAGAAAGGGATGGGGTTTAGCTTGGGGAGGCACAGTTAACTGCTAGGCACTGCAGGTACAGAACAACGGAGGCACAGGGCTCCTGACTTGAGAAGCTCTGTCTCCAATGCAGCCTACAGGTGTGCATCAAGCAGTGAGCGGAGCAGGGGTGCCCCACACCCAGGAAAGGAGCCCAGAGAATGCCTCCTGCACCAGCGGGCTAGACCTGGGAATCGGTCTGCTCCATCAACACCTTAACCAGGAAGCTCCTCTCCTCTACATGGAGAATACGTGGCTGTGCGGTCTGATGGCTCTTCTGAGAGCAGAGTTATCTCCCATGCTGTGGGGCTAGGAGTATGAGATGCAAAGAGGGGTGAAGACCCAAGGTCCCACAATGAGGGGGCCATTTGTTTGGCAGGAACCTGGTGCCTTGACAACTGCGAATTCATCTGCCTCTCTGAGGACCTCTAATTCAGTAGCTCCAGCCAGACCTCACACCTGTGAGACCTCACACCCAGACCTCACCATGCAGTCTCCCCTCCATCCTCTATGCTGATCTGAAGTCACCTATCCAGAACCAGCAAACAAGCCTGAAAGTTTGCCTGCTTAGTGCATCTCTCTCTTGAACAAATACTTTACTTTTTGAGAGAGAAAGGTAATAAAATTGCCTATCAACCCAAGTGCTAATATCTAACATACACAGAACAGAATCCAAGAAGTGATTTGCCCACCAGAAACAAGCCCTGACCTCACTTTCTCTTCAGCACTGAAGATTTCACCGTTGAACATAATTAGCCTAATCTGAGTTCCTACTTTGCTAACTGAGGAGCATGAATGTCACAAACAAAGCAGAGATGCACACATTCCCCTGTGCAGAGGGGCATAAAAATAGTAGGAAGCATGTTCTCATGCAGTCTGCGCTGACAGGGGCAGGATGCGGCATTCCTGCACACCCAGGACAGTGGCCACTTTCAGTGGCAGCACAGAAGGCTGAAGAGAAGCGTGCCTCCCCCTAGCTGTGAGGTTTCCCTCTGGGAGGACAGGACACTGCAGGGAGTCTCTGACCAAGCCCAGGAAAGTTCTAATTCTCAGCTTTATGACCCAGATAACTCGGGGTGGCTCTGGAATCTTAAGTCTGTCCTACTTCAGTAATCCTCCAACCTGAAGTCCTGCATGCATGGGGCTATTTGACCAAGGGATGCCAACAGATGGTTGTGCAAAGTGACAAATTTGCAAACCCATGCTGGTCTGAGTGGAAAAATAAAACCTGGGCTGCCACCACTGTTAAGAGGACCAAAGAGTTCCAGAAACAATGTCACAAGGATGAGCTTGCTGCGTGATTCAATGATTCTAAAGAAACTTTTGCCTCTTTAAAAATAGGTAGCCCTGAATTATTAATGCAGTGAGCCAAATAATCATATCACAGGGGGTATGATCATATCACAGGCAGGGGGTGTCATTCTGTAATGACATCTGCTGCTCCGGGGCTTCTCTATGGCACAGAAAATTGAAGAGTCGTCACCAGATGTGGTTTCAACTTGGCTGTGCAATGTTCAGCCAAATCATGAAGCTAAAAGGGTGCATGTTTAATTCAGTTTCTTTTCTCAGCCCACTGTATTAGGAAGGAAAATCACAGTGCTGAAGGCTCTAACTGTAAAATATGTCATCACCAGTATGGGAAACGACAGTGGGAGACAGAGAACTCCAGAGGATGAAAGAGGAAGCCAGGGAAATGTTAGAAGATTCCCTGTGAGGTTCTGGCAGGGTTGGAAAGCTTTACAAAGTTTAGGAGCAGTCTCCTTCCTCATTCCCACTCTGTACCCCAGCTCAGCTGCACCAAGAACTCCTGACACCTCATACCAAAGCACATTGATGTCTGACATTTATCCCTAGGGATGGTCCGTAATACCCAATGGCTTCTCAAATCCCCCAAAAGTCACAGCATCTGAAATCTGTTTCCTGTAAATTGCTATACTGGTTAATCTCCCAGGGCAGCATGACTGGATCAAGTGACTCCTAATGAGGTGACTAGATTGAGAGGACTCCAACCTCATCATGATCCCAGTGATGAGCCTGCTGGCCAACCCATAATCAAATGGAATGTTAAGTACAGCCTTACTGGGAGAAGCTGGGTGCATGACCTTGGAGGCTCTATCTGGCCCCTTTCTGCCTGGCTCTTTCTAACCACATCTGCTTCTTAGATGCTGTGAGCTAAGCAAATGTCCTACACCACACCTTCCACCAGTACATCTGTGTGCTGCAGTCAGTTGACTATGGAGCTCTGAAAACTCTCTTCCGTTAAGCTACAAGTGCCAGGTACATCATCCCAGCAACAGGAAAGCTGACCAGCATGACTGTGCTTTGAGCACCTGGGTTGGCGAGGCCCCTTTTGTGAACCACATGGGTTCACAGAGCCCACACGCTCAGCCAGCCTGTCTCCCACTCGGCTCCCTTCTGTAGACAGTCACTGCCTGACCTCTACCCTATCTCTGCGAGGGGCACTTTTCTACTTGCCACTTTCCAAACTGACTCTCTCTCACCATTCCAACCTCCAGCTCAGAGAATCCTTCCTGTAAAAATATATATCTGCTAGGTTAAAGTCCACATTCCAATTACCCCACTTGGCAAAAGGACAGCATTCTAAATAATGTTCCTCCCTACCTAACTTTCTGCCTTGAGTCCCAAAGACTCTACCAATTCAGCATGTGGAATCCACTCCTCTGGTGTTTTACAAATCTGCCACAGATATTTGCAGCAATAGATCCTTAAAAACAAAGTCAATAATGGAATGAAAAGACTGTACAAACACACAGGATTCTAATAATCATTAATAATTACAATGAAGTAGGTACATGAGTTACTGTCCTAAGTGCCTCTGCATTTATTATTTAATCCATACAACAAAGCATCCATTAATTCATTCACTGAGCAAACATTTATTAAGCACCTCTTATGTGCCGGATTCTCCGCTAGGTGCTAAGGGCATAGCTCTGAATTAACATGCGAAACCTCCCTCTCTCTAAAGCTTAAATGTTAGCAGGCAGATAATAAATAAATCAATAAGTAAATGTTTAGCGTCCCAGATGGTGACAAGTAACTAAGGAGGGACAGACAGGAAAAGCCCAAGCGCAGACAAAGGTGGGATTACATTGGCAGCTTCAAGGAATACCAACAGCCACTGGAAGATGGAAGAGACGGGGTTTTCCCCTGAAGCCTGCAGAGGGAGCATGGCCTGACAGTACCTTGATTTCAGACTGCTGGCCTCCAGGACCACAAGGGTATAATTATCTGTTTGCTGCCTGAAGCCACCCAGGTGGCAGCAATGTTTTAGCTCCCCATACAAAGGGCAACACAGAGAACTGGTTAGGGAGTGTTGTAAGGGACAGAGTTTGGGGATGTTCACACTGGCACCCATGTCCTGGTACCTGGACCACAGGATACCCAGGTGCCCAGGGCCCTAAGGCTGTGTGCACACACAACAGTGAACTGTGACTGTGGGCTTACTCTCCCAGACGTCGAGGTATTGGAACCAAGGCTTCGGGCGTTAGCCCAAATTTTCCTGTTTGTCTGGCCCTTGGCTAGATGTAGCCAGCCCCTTTCTGAAACACGGCACCAGAGATAGTTGTTTCTCAGTACAAGGACAAGGTTTTCTGGCTTGCGTCATGATTTGGCCTTTTCAGGAGCCTGGCTGAAACTATCACCCAGTATCACTAAGACTGGACTTGAGGGGAGGTTTCCAAGTTCAGTGCCCTGGGAAATACCTTGTGAGCAGCACCCACTGGGTTTATCCCTGTCAGGGCAGCCCAGTTACTGACACCCATGCCAGTTTTCAGTGAGCAGCAAAACTAGGTAGGAGATACCCTATACAAAGTGAGATGGGCCCCAGCCGAGCTGACCAGGGCACCCCTAAGGATTTAATAGATCCCATGACTGTGCCCCACTCCCAGTGAGAGAAGCTCTGCCTGGTGCTCTGCACACAAGCAGCTCAGATGAAGAGGCATCACACGTCCTAGTCCTGAGGCTGCCAGACCTCAGGAACCCCTTGGCACACAGTACTGAGGTGATGGGGCAGCCAGTTGGTGGCCTTCTGTGACAGTGTCCTCCCCAGAAAATGAACGCGGACCCCGAGTCCCAGGGCCATCAGGACCACATCCCAGTGAGAAGCACCACGTCACCGTGGTTGGTGACACCTGCTACTGTCCAGTGCGCCACAGGTGGGCGCTTGGGAGTGTGAGCTTGTCCACACACACGAGACTACACGCAAGCATCTGTGCACGGTGTCCTTGCCCACAGGAATTCCTGATGTCACACCTCCGTTGGAGTCCTGCTGACCCAGTCACTGTCGCTGCACTTCCAGGCTGTCACAAGCCTCTTTTGTCTGCACAGGACAGAGGGAGGAACAGTGCCTGAGCTCACCAGGCTTTCAGCAGCCAAGAACTTTTGAAGTTCTTTTAAAATAAAAAGAGAAGAATAAACTTTTAGGGCATTAAAAGAAAGTGTGTGAGTACATATTAGGATGTTTGTCTTTCTACCAATACAGTGGTAAAAACACAACTTTTTATGATTTTTGGAGAGAAAGACCCAGGAAGGCCAAAGTGCCGAGAAACCACAAAGGTGGCTTACATGCAGACTTACAGTTGCATCTGTTCCCACAGCCATTGGCTTCTCCAGAACCACAGCAATTTCTAGATGCAAGGACCCTGGGGCCACTATGGGCCTAAACACCCACCTTGAGGCTCCCTGCCGCTGCAGCAGGAGGGCTCTCTGCCCAGAGCCTGCCCTCTCCTAGGAGAACAAGAGACTGAGAGACTGCAGAGGGAGCCAGGTGCCAGGATGGCTGATGAGCGGCCAGCTCTGAGAGTGCTGCAGGAACTCAGGCTGGTGCTAAGTTCCACCGTGGGATTTAAGGCGGCTTCCAGGAGATCAATCTTATACTTCTGGAGAAACCGGCTCCCTGCCATTGGCCTGTGCTTCACCACAGCAGCTCCTCAACGGTCTCTAATGCACTTACCTCCACAGAGAGCTCTCAGTCACACTTCCCAGGTTGAAGTCATACAGCTTCGTCAGGATGAGTATGACCTGCAGGGGGTGGGAGGGGGGCAGAGGAGGGGACAGGGTGGGGAGAAAGGAAGCTCACTTTAGTCTGCAGAGCAGTGCACAGTGCATCTCACATCACCCAGAGGAGAGCTTAGTACTCATCCATCGAATGGAGGGGTATTATAGGATCAAGCAGGGGAAAATTATTAATATAATGCATCCCTGTAACTAGTAGCATTTACTGTAATCCCGACAGCTCTTTGCATTTGAAATAAAACGCACCGACAGGAGTTAAATAAGTATCGACAGGTGTTTCTCTCTGTATCCATCCTCCCTCAAGGTCAGGCCCAGGCCAGCTGACACCCAGGGATCTGGGGACAGGCTTGCTCTGAATCCCAAGATGACTGTGATGAGGCAAGGATGTAGCTCAGTGGCACAGCACCTGCCTGGCAAATGCGAGGTTATGAGTTTGATACCCGGTACCAAAAGACTGTGATGTACAGAATTAAATCCAAAAGGTAAGGGGAACTGGTCTGAGTCTTTCTGCCTGCAGAAGGGGTCTGAAGAGGTTTTGTGTTCCCATGAGTGAGGCCCTTGTAGCATAACCACCTGAATGGAAGTTGGCTCTGTCTCCAACATTCTCTGATGCTATCTGCCATGGGTCACTTGGCATCTTCTCCCACCATGCAAGAAGCAGGGCATCCAATTTCATTGTGACCCAAGACTACTTCCTGACTCACCCAGGAAGGAGCTGCATGTGCCAGAGAGTGACAGCTGTCTATAACCCAGTTAGTGGCACCCTGAGCTGATTTGGGATGGATGTCAGTCTGGCTCCATGACAGCTGGAGACCTGTGCATCAGACATTGCCTGCCCTCCCCTCCCAGACAAGGACAGTGGCTTAAGCATAACCTCTTAGCCCCAAGAACCCTAAGGACCTGCAGCTGAATCAGTTGTAATCAAAAGCAGGTAGGCAACCACATCCACAATTGCTCACCTGCACAAGTGATGATCCATGCACACATAACTGTTTATCCAAATTTAGCACACAACTCTCCTCACTTTTCTCAGCTCCTTCTGAGTCCACAATTTAACTTTCCCCAGTTCATTTACACAGCAGCTATTAAACTCTTCCCAAGATAATGCATTTCTGCTAACAATATGGAACTTTCTCACTCTGGGCATCCATTTAAGATTAAAGAAAAAATAATCAGCCACGATATTGAACATTTTTATAGCACTTAACTAACAACAAAATGCTCAGTTTGAGATTTGTTCTCATTCAACACTTAGGGGTCAATCAGTGCTATTTCTATTTCTTCTATGTAAATTTTAAAAAAGAAAAATAAAAATTAAAGACCAGGGATGTGATCCATTATAGGTCAAAGAGGATTCCTGGCAAATTTGGTCTGGACAGGCAGCTTCTGATGAGGCTATTCCTGCAGGGATCAGACTTCTTCCAGATTTGGTCTGCGGACAGGAGCAACAGGTTGGCAAGAAATGTCCTACCTGGCATGGTTACTTGTAGGGTAGGAGGCTCTACCAACATACTTGTCTTCTTACTACCCGCAGTCACTCGGGGCCACTGCCTCTGCCATTCTTTGACTAAGGAGTTTCCTCCTTTGGTAAATCCAGGCCTAATAAAGTGTGGAGACTTATCCCTGTCCTCCCAAACACTCAGCAGCACACCAGATAAACTGTTTATGGCACTTAACTAACAGCACACATGTACCCACACACATGTGCGACAGAACCCTCCCTCTCTTTTGAGTACTTTCATCTAGGAAGTCATCAAGTAAAAGGTAAGGGATCCATATGCAAGCCATCCCAAATTCTGGGGGGAAAAGCTCAAAACTATATTAGGAGTGAGTCACAATGAACATAGAGGGCTCTGCAGGAGCAAATCAGATCACTTCAGAACATCAGTCTCTGAAAAGCCACAAAATTCAGCAAAAAAGAGATGTCGAGGGTAAGAATTCCAACATAACTTCTAATTAACAACTAGATCTGGAAAGTTCTTTTCATCCAAAACTTAAAGAGCCCTCCTTCCCTCCCTCCCTTCCTTCCTTTCTCCCCTTTCCAGCTTTCCTTCTTCCTTTCCTTCCTTTCTTCTTTCTTCCTTCACTTTTTTCCTTCCTTCCTTTTTTCTTCCTTCCTCCATCCCTTCCTTCTTTCCTTCTTCTTTCCTTTCTTTTTTCTTCTCTCTCCCCCTCCTTCCTTTTTCCTCTCTCTCTCTCTCCGTCTCTCCTTCTTTCCTTCCTTCCTTTCTCCCTTCTCTCCTTCACTGGGAGTCAGACCTGCAACTCAATTGAGCAGTACCCCATTCTCTTCCGGCTTTCCCCCCATTTTCTCATGCAGTATTTTTGGTAGCAAGTTTCTTGAACCCCCTGATCTTATCTTGGGTGTTTCCTTCTTGGAGAATGCAGACTAACCTATCATTTCCTTCTTCAGTGAATATTATATCTGTCTTCATGACTGACTCAGGCACTTTCTTGATCAGAAACTCTACTGGCTCCTCCTGCTGAAAGATGAGCTCTGGACTCTGGAGATTGGGCTCTCTCTCCCTAGGGCTCTCTCCCCAGTATCTGTCCAGTTTCCAAAAGCCATTCCTCTGTGTTAGGGGATCTAAGTTTCTCCAGGTCCTGCAGTTTTGCCCGACTCCCTCTGCCTTTTTCTGCTACCTCCTGCCTGTGTCATCATTTCACTGCCTCCGGCTAGTTGGGGAATAGTCCAAAGCCCACCTGCTTCAGGAAGCCTCCCATGATTAGCCAAGCCATCAAAATGTTCTCCCTGTTAATGAGTTTGTTCAAATCTGAATCTCAGGAATTACCACTCCCTCAGCCACGATCTCAGTAGTTTCTGGACGTCATGTGAGTTGCCTTTTTCGAGGATTATGTTTGTGTCTCTGTCTTGTTTGCAGCCAGGCTCAGCAAACTGATGGTTTTTAAGGAATAATCCCCTATGAGTCAGTGGAAGAGAGTGATGCTTTGGTGGTGATGCAGACTCAGCAGGAAATGGAAAGGAGCTCGTCTACTGTGTCCATGTTAGGAAATGAATGGGTACAGGACGAGGAAATGAATGGGTGCAGGGTTCAAGGTCAAGTCTCTGCACTGTTGGGATGTGACAGAGTAACCAAACAGGTTACTCTTGCCTTGCCTTGAGTAAAGATGGAGCCAGTTGGTGGCTCCACCCACTTCGAGTTTGACTTGGTGGGGCTTGGGCAGAGTTCAGCCAACTGGAGCCAACCAGAGGAGCGCAGGTAGAAAAGACTCAATCAGGAAAGACTTAATCAGGCCATGCTTGCTTCCTTGCTTCTGTGCCATGATGATGCCGCCCACTGCACCATGATAAGATCCTGACCCAGTCAAGCACACTTTGGTTTAAACTGGATGTAACTTGATAACAGAGCAGGCAGTAGGAGAGGAGCATGCCTCAGCTAACTCACACCACCAATCCCCACAAGGAAAAGGTGACACTGAGAAGTAGGCGATGAGTGCTTCTTTCCCCCGGAGCCAGCACACACACAGACATTAACGGAACCAGGAAGAGATGATAATGTAACACTTCAGCTTAAGATATTCTGTACTGGGCAGATAAAACCAAGACTGAAAGAAAGCCTGGCCTCTCTTACCACTCCCATCCTTCCAAAGACCACCAGGGAGGCAGGAATGACTAGGGAAAAAACAGTGTCTGAAAGCAGACATGGTAAACCCATCTCACAAGGCCAATGCTGCCAGGCAAGTACTTGTTAGAAAGAAGAGGTGGGGTGTGCCCAGAGCACCAGGCAATGGGGTGGCATGCAGGGTGGGAGGCAGAGGGGCTGGTCACAGATCCACAGCGAAACCTGACTGGACTCCCCCACAGCTGATTCTCTGGGATGCCATCGACAGTCAGATTCCAGTAAGGAAAAGCAAAATAACTGTGCAATGTACCAACACTACACTGAGTGATCACACCTTCCTTACAAGCCTTTGAGCACAACAGGTTTTACATCCCCATCTTACTCATGAGTGAACAGGCCCAATATGCAAAGTGCGTGGCAGCCAGAGACAGCCAGGGGCAGCCAGCATCCCCAGCTCATCTGCTTCAGCCACAGCTCTCTGCCCCAGCGCAGTGCTCCATCGTGCATGCAGCCCTTGCTCATGTGTGTAGATAACGAGCAGGAGCACAGACAGGGACTACCACCCTTTGGCCCTCAAGGAGTTTATCACTCACTCAGTAATTTCACTGAGTCTTCAGAAGACCTGCCACATAGTAACCTCTAAATATCACAGAGACCCAGAGCTCAAGGCCCAGGGGAGAGGATAACTGCAGCTTCCTTTGTTTTTGGAGAAAAAACCAGAGATATATGGTGAGAAAAGAAGCAAATTGTTAGGAGACCCAGGTTTGTTAAATAAGCTTTTTCAAGCAAGCACCTCTTTGACCTAAGTGACTACAAACCTGGAGGAGTTTAGACAGCAGGAGCAGTGAAAATAAACTGGAATAATTCATGAGTCAATAGCACTTCTCTCTTCTCATAAGCTATATCTGCACATGCACACACAGGATAGAGATCTGTGTATGTGTGAGTGTGTGCGTGAGTGTGCATGTTTGTGTGTGTATCTAAATGTAGCCAGTGAAGCCCACATGTGTTCAGGGAAATATGGACATAAGCATACAAAGCATTATTTCAAGCTGGCCCTCACATTCTTCTCTGGGTGACAGCGACCTCTCTCAGCTCAGAAACCAGAACTCACTCAATGCTGCCTCCCCAACTTTAGGCGCAATGCCACTCATGGCAGGTGTTACCCAAGGTCCTTTGGGTGAATTATAAATGCATGATAATAAAAAGGGACCGAGAAGTTAAACATCTGAGAGCGGTACGGGTACTGTGCTATCAGAGTAGAGAGCAGGACGCAATTAAGTCCAGAAAGTGCGGTCAGCAACCAGCACAGTGTTGGTGACGAGAGTGAAGCGTGAAAGAATCTGGATGCCCTGAGGCAAGGCCTGTTAGCCTGCCTTATATGGCTTCTTGATTTTCAAACTGGATGGGGAGGGCCGGACA